TATTAGTGGAGTATAAAATCAATAACTTTGTTTAAAGATTTAGAAACCTTGTGTCAGTGAAGGTGCATTTGTCTTAAAAGGACATACATCTCAACTCACTTTTACAAGTGGGATGATTTTATTTTGAGGGAGGAACCTGTTCCCATTTATACTGTGATATTTAATCAGTAAGGTCCAAGCAGGATCTTCTCAGTCACAGGAAGGGAAGCCCGAGCTTCACGTGTGCCATCACTTTTGGTACCTGTGACGTAAGAGTTGCTTTCAGCACCGTGATTCTCTCCTGTCAGTCAGGACTGTTAGTGTTGTCAGACTGTTGTGGTCCAGAGGGCGTTCTTTGTGGTCCTTTGGGAAGTCGAGTGCCAGACCTTTCTTAGTCTGAGTTTAGAAGCTCTGCTGACACCTGTCCGTCATTACAGCAACAAGCAAGTTGCTGCCGGTCACCACCAGCTGAGTATGACCCACTGCAGTGGGCAAGCTACACAGAGCAGGGGTGAAGAAATTATGGCCCGTGGACCAAATCTAGCCTACTGCTTTTTTTTTTTTAAAAAAACTTTTGTTGTGAAAACATACGCACCAAGACATTCACTGACATAACAACTTCCCCATTTACAGCTCAGGGCCATAGATGACATTTTTCAGGTTGTGCCATCATTATTGCTGTCCTTTTCCAAAATATTCCATCATCATTAGCATAAACTCAGTGCCCTGCAAACAAAAGCTTCCCCTTTTCACCTATATATATATTTTTTTTAAATTAAACAGCCTGTGAGCTAAGAGTGGTTTTGACATTTTTCAGTGGTTGGAAAAGAAATCAAAAGCATAGTATTCAATGACATGTGAAAATGTTATGAAATTCAAATGTCAGTATCTATAAAAATAGTTTTACTTGCAACACTGCCATGCTCATCATTTACTTACTTCCTGTGGCTGTTTTCATGCTACAGTGGGCAGGGCAGTTGAGTAGTTGTGATAGATTCCACCTGGCCTGCAAAGCCCAAAATATTTACTATCTGGACATTTACAAAGAAGACCTGCCAATCCCTGGCATAAAAGTCTGTTCTGTTTATTTACAGCTCACGTCAGTCCTCAGGACTAGTCTGTAACTGAGTGTGTTGTTGTGGCTAGTTGCTGTTGAGTCAGTTCTGACTCATGATGACCCATGTGTGCAAAGTAGAATGCTCCACAGGGTTTTCCAGGCTGTGACCTTTGGGAAGCAGACTGCCAGGCTTGTGTTCCAAGGTGCCCTGGGTAGGTTTGAACCGTCTTTTCAGCTAGCAGCCAGGTGCTTAACTGTTCACAGCAGCTAAGTCTTAACTATTGGAGCCTCCTGCTCCTGATAGGCTCAGCCTACTCCCTGTGACTGCCATGGTATCAATTCATTCATCTATTTTTTTTAATAAGAAGTTCAACAAGCATGTGATGGAAACCTTTATGTGTCTCTAAAACAAAATAAAACAAAACAAACCAACCCATTGCCATGGAGTCCATTCTGACCCTGTAGGACAGTGGAACTGCCCCATAGGGTTTTGTGGTGGTTATGTTTTTTTTTCACTTTGGTTGGCAATGTTGAATGGCTGGGCAGCTGGTGATAGTTATTCCCCATGATGAGACTGGCAATCAGCTCCCTGGTGGGATCTACCACAAGCAGCTGAGTAGCTGCCTTTGGGATGTGGTCTGCTTCTTGTATATAAGGAGAAGCCTTGGGGAATGGTCTCTAGCTTATGGCATGCTTGCACCCTGTATGTAGCCATGTCATTGTTCAGCAGCCTGCCATGCTCTGCTGACCTTGGGACTTAAAATGGACTTGAATGGCCTGCCGTGTGATTTGGTAATATCAGGACTGTGCCTTTTTACTTGTCAACCTTGGGCTTGGCAGCCTCAGCAGCCAGCAGTTGTCTGAGTGAAGAAATGCCTCTAGCTCCAGTGGGCCAGGAGTAGGAGGCAGAGCTGGACCCCTAGGTTGAGGGGCTTTCACCCAGCCCCTAGAGCCTGGCACTTGGAACTTGGACTTAAAGCCTCCAAATTGTAAGAATAAACTCCTGTTTGTTAAGGACATCTCATTTGTGGTATATTCTTGTCAGAGCGGCACTAGGGAACCAGAACAGGTTTCAAAGGCGGTAATCTTTATGGAAGCAGACTGCCACATCTTTCTCCCGTGGAGCCACTGGTGGGTTTAAACTGCCAACAGTTAGGCTAGCAGCTGTGTGCTTAACCATGGCACCACCAGGGCTACTGTATGTGCTTCTAGTAAAGCTACAAGTTTTGCAGAAGAGAAAAATTGAAAAAAAGTTATGAATCTTCCTTGGGCTTCTTTTAACTTCTATTAGATTAAACAATTAATGCTGGTAAGATTATAATTTGGTAAACCAACACAAACAAACCCACAAACTTTACAGTAGAAGAAATTCCGTCTCTTTAAATAAAAAAGCCATAAGTTTATTGCAAATCTAGAAGTACCAGAAAATCACTAACACAGAACAAATCAGCAATTCTGCTTCTGTTTTCTTTCAGACATTGAAAATCTTGATTACTGGCACACTGGAATTGGCATACACTTTGTTTTCATGCAGTTAATAGAATGGACATAGAGCAGATCCCTCAGAAATCAGTTATAAATATTAAATTGTATTGAACATTCATAGTAAAAAACATGTTGTAAAGTGCTGAAGTCATGTAAGTCCACAAAACTGCCACAGGCTCAAAGTCCTTCTCAAGCAGTGACAGAAGAATTGCTACATCCACCTTGCTTTAGGTGTGCCTGCATTTCCGGACACTTTGTCATCTCCCCCCACCCCCCAAAGTTTTAAAGATTGTCCTGTCTATGGCTGATAAAATGCTATACAAAATGTAGCAGGTGATCAACTATGCCACTTTCAGTTCAGTGCAGAGAAATATTCAAGCTTGTGTGTACCTGTGACCAAACCAGCCTGTTCTGTTTTTTCCCCCTGAGTTGTCATAAATTAACAGTGAAGATGAATAAAGACGGGGCAGCGAGTATTAACTACACCTGGAGGGTGGGAGGACAAATAAACAAGGAGCCCACCTGTTAATCCTTAAACTTTCCCTCTTTACAGAAAGAAGGTTAAAATGAGAAATGCTAGATATGCAGTATAACTCCAAAATAAACACCAATGACTGATAGCTATGGCAACTTAGTACAGTCAAGTCGTGTTGTCTGTAAGACGTAAATCATAACTTACAGCTTGTGATGGTGAAATAACTGTCTCCACTACTCCATGTGAAATCCAGAAATGAGTTAACAGCTTGATGTTTGTTTTAAAAAAATCAGAAATGCTTCAGCGATTCAATGACATATGATTCAGATCAAGTGTTCTTAAGTCATGAAACAAAATGACTTTAAAAAGCAAAGGCGACTTGCTATTCTCTCCCCCCTTTTGATAGCACACACTGCCTTTAATCAAATTGAATCATTATGAGTTGGCCTTTTGTGAGAGTAACTTTATAAGATCAGAAGTGTTCTTTGAGGCATTTAAAGGGTTTCAGAAAGGAGGTGAAAATGCTGATTATGTCTCAGATTGTACTTCTTTTGATTACTCATCCTAGAATAACTTAATAATAAATAGTGGTTTAAATTAAAGACACAACAATCACATATTTCTGAATAATTAAAAGCAACAGGAAACACATTTTTGAACGCCATTCTGTATATTCTATATTGAAATACTAGTGGTAATGACTGGCCATAAAAAGAAGTGGTAATCTTCACATTTATGAAGTTCAAGTCCTATATATTTTTAAAATTTATTAGCCAGATGTTTGGTCGTAAACTGTATTTCATCTCCATGAAGTATTTGGAAAATTAAGAAGCCGTAAGTTTTAAATGAAAACCTCAGTGTTTTTCAAAGGGTATTTAAAAATGTATTTATGTTTTTGAAATTTAGCAATTAAAAAAAATTTTTTTTGAATGGCCAATTACGTTTCAGTGACCTGGGCTAGATGTCATTTCGTAAGATAGTAGTTTATCACATGTGAGAGTTCCTAAAACCACTCTGCCAATTCGTATCACTATTTTAAAACTGGAGTGTGAACCAGAGAGTCCTTTTGTGTGTCAGTTTCACTACTGAATACAGCCAGATTTATATAGGAAGAGAGTTTGGTTGTTTGTGTTTTGGCTTTGAGAAATGAGCAAAAAGGAAAACTTAAAAAGAAAGAAGGATGTTGGTAGTGCTGTTCACATACACATTCCCTTTAAATAGTATTTTGCAAGTGGAGCAGAGCCGTTAGCTACTCTAGCTCCCTAGCTCCCTCCCACCCCACCCACCACCCTCCACCCCTTACCAGCCAATGTGGCGGCTGACGTTACATGAAAGCAAGTCATACTGGCTCTGTTTTTATGTGAACCCTATGCTCGTTTTTCCCAAGGTCCATTTCAAGGAAATCTTCAGGGATGTCTTGTAAAGCTTTCCCCCGACAATTCTCTGCCTGTGTTTCACCTGAATGACGCTGCTGGCACAGTCCCTTTTTGCAGGGTCTCACAAGCGCGAGGCACACGGTGGCCATGATCATGCCCGCCGCGCAGGAGTAGAAGGCTCTGCTGTATATTTTGCTTTGGTCCACCAGCAGACCTGGGAGGAAGCAGCAGCACGTGTTAACAACCCATCCACTGGACCCAGCCCTCTCTCACCCAGGCTCTCATCAGATTTAGAGACCTCTCAGGATTGTTTTGCCTTCTTAGTTTAACTTTGTTTTTCTAAACCAACAAAGGTGTTGATGGTTAGAATTCTTCTCACCTGGTGAGAAAAAAATGATCCCACAAATGGACAAATACTCAGCACCTAAGACAATTAAGTCGCTGACGTGTTCTTCATGGGCTAAGTCTGTCCTAGTAGAGAAGCTAGCACATGGGACAAGTAGATGCATGCTTTTTTGAAAATGCAATCTTCTGAAGTAAGGAGAACACTATTATTTTCATTTGCATTCACTCCAGGTATCTTTTAACATGGAGTAAGATTTCTAATCACAGTAACTTTAAGAATCTATTTCAGATCTAAGATATGAAACCTACTTGTGTCCTTCCTACAAGAAAATAGTCTATAGTAATCAATTAAGTATTTGCTGAGGGCTGCTGTGTGCTCAATCCCCTAATACCTACTCAAGAAGGAAAGATGACTTATAGAAGTGCCTTATTTCTATTATTCCACAAGTCATTGGTCCCCCACATTAGGCAAGGCAAAATGGCAGAAATAACATAATGCATAGGGCAACTTGGACTGCAGATAATGTTCTAATTCGGATTTGCTCATTAATTTATCATATAACCTTTGACTTAAATCTTTGGCTTAGCTTCCTCACATTTAAATCGGGAGGGTTGGCTCATGTAACCTCTAATTTCTGTTGTGTTAGCTGCCATCAAATCAGCCACCAGTTATGGTGACCCAGCGCACAACGGAATGAAACACTGCTCAGTCCTGCACTATCTCCATGATGGGTTAGAGATTGGACTGTTGTATCTACAGGGTTTTCACTGACTGATTTTGCCAGTACATCGCCAGGCCTTTCTTCCTAATCCGTCCCAGTCTGGAAGCTCTGCTGTGCCCTGTTGAGCATCACAGCCAGACACAGTACTCTGACAAACGTGGTGGCTGAGGCTGAGTGCAGTGGCCGGGAATCAAACCCAGGCCTCCTTCTGTGGAAGGTGTGGAATCTCCCACTGAGCCACCAAAGCCTTTCTTGCTACCAGTTCTGAAGATCCACGGAAGCATGAAAGTCAGCAGATCTGTCATTAGACTGCATAGGAAGATCACATAGCTACTAATAAGGGGACAGTAGAAAAGGGTTTGTATTGTATATATTCAAATTACCTGCAAGGGGTGGTCCAGCCAGTCCTGATATGCTCTGAATGAAGACATAGACTCCAGCTGCAGAAGACATCCTTTCAATTCCCACTACATCCTCTTCAGCCAGCAGTGGAATGTGGGTGCCTCCTACTGTCCCAACCATAAAACCAAAAAATATGCTACACGACGTAAGACCCCAGAACTCAGTAGCAAAAGTAAAGGAAAACAGAGATACAGTCAATAAGATGACACAGATGAGCTCAATGTAGATCTTACGAATGGGCTTTCTGTTGAGGACCAAGCCCGCTCCGACTCTTCCAAAAACTTCAGCAATGGCCATGGTCGATAATATGAAAGCAGCACGATCCTGTTCAATGCCCAGACTGATGCCCAAGGGGATGATGTACAAGGGAGGTGCAAAGAATCCCAGTGTGGCAAAGAGACCAAACAATGCATAACAAATAAAACTCTTCTCTTTCAAGATCGAGAAGTCTAATAACGGGACTTTCTCAGCGCTTTGCTGGGAGCTGGTCTTCACCAGGTTCTGGTGCGTGTCAGCCTTGGGCTCCAGTTCCATTGTCGCGTGACTAGGCACATTTTTTGGTGAGGTAGTTAGTTCCACTCCTGAGTCAATGGAGTCTATGGAGGTGCGTGTTTTCTCATTTTCAAGCATATATTGCATTTCTTTCCGACTCTCCTGGGCGGCTGTTTTTGGTGAGCCTGGTGCTCTAATAACTATCGGTCTGAGCAGCAGCCCACAGACGATGATGTTTAGCTGCAGCAGGCCCACAAAGAGGAGGCTGTTCCTCCAGCCGATGCTCTCCTTCAGAGCCGTGATCGCTTCAACAGGCAGGAGCGAAGAAGGAACGAAATGAAAGGTCAATAATTGCAGGAAGAATTACACACTCACAGTCACTAATAATTTTTTGTAAAAATTGACACGGCAGCGTGAATGCAGTCAGCCCCTGCTGTCCTATATTCAACTTACATTCTAGCCTTTCTGATTCCCTAAGGAGAAGGTGTACCTAGTGATTATTATCTACAAAACACAAAATGTCAGCTTAGGTCTCAAAGAGTTGTAGAGGGTGTGTTTTACTGGCCAGAGGCACAAGAACTGAAATACGGTTGGGATCCACATTAGGGTTCGGCAAACGGTGGCTCGAGGGCCAAATGTGGCCCACTGCCTGTTTTTGTGAAGCAGATCTGAGTGGAACACAAGGACGCTCATTTGCCTGCAAAGTCCATGGTTGCCTTTGTGCTGTAACAGCAGAGGTGAGGAGCTGTGACAGAGACCACGTAACCTGCAAAGCCTAAGATACTCACCATCTGGCCTTTCACATAGAGTTTGCGGCTCTCTGATCATATTCATTATATGCCCATTTATTCAATCCTTTGGAGAAATGGATTAAAATTTAAGAATGGGCTAAGAATCTGAAAACTCTTACGATTATCTCAGAATGAAATGATACAGTTCTCCAACTAGTTTCTACCTGGGGTATGTCTTTAACGACCTGAGTTCTTCCTGCCATTCAGTTGGAAGTTATGCTGTTGACCAGAGGCAGCTGGAGGGTGGGCCAGACCCCGGAAGGTGAGAGCGAGGACGTGGCCAGAGACAGCACAAAGTGCCACAGCAGCACTGGGAAAATGCAGCCTTGCACGGTAGCTCCCTAATCAGCCCAGGAGATGAAGTGTTTGTTATGCTTCCAGGTTACCATCTCGTCGCTCTCTGAGTGCTGACAGTCCAGTGTGATAGAACGAATAGCTCAATGGACCAGAATACAGGCTTAGCAGGAAAGCAGCCCCATCCCTTGACTAAGGCACCAGCTACTTCTGTAGTGTGTTTTGCTCATACCTCTAGTTCTACCCCCATTAGAGTAGAAAACACAGAACTGTCAAACAGCTGCCAATAGGTGACTTCCACTGTATGCCTAGTGAAAGGTTATTTGCCCTCAGTTTTCCACAGTGCTTTCTACCCATCTGTCTACTTTTTCTTCTTCCCTGAACATGTCTACCAGGTGTCAGGTACTGTGCCAAGTACAGAGAACAAGGCAGCCAAGGTGGGTTTCTCCCTCCAGGACACTCACCGTCACCTAGTCTTTGTCCCCTCAGTGTTGCCTTTGGAAGATGTTCACACCACCAGCAAATATGAAAGAATGACACCTTCTACCCACCCATCGCTAAAGTTCTGCGGTGAATGTCCTCCTCAGTGTCTGTCTGGCTCTCTGTCTCCCTCTGTGTCTCGGCTCCCTGTCTTTATTAACACACACATTCATTGTTCTAAACCATTTAAAAAGCAGACATTATGACATGTCCGCCCTAAACACTTGTGCATGGATCTCCTTAGGGCAAAGTGCAGTCCACAGACACATTCATCAAGAAAAGGGCAGGGGACAAAATGCTTCTGGGTCTCCAGGGTGGTCCGTCTACTCCTTGTTAGAGTGTAATTCCACACACTAATAAGGTAGGGAAATGAACCAGGGGTAGAAATTTTGCTGGACATTATCCACACACACGTAATAGAATTGACTTTGTTAGCATGATTTAAACTCACACTGAATATATCTTTTAACAAAGGAGAGAAAGAATAGTATGAATAATCTCAAATCATTATTTATTTTGGGATGCATGTTCCAAGCCTTATAACTGAATGTGTACCATGTTATTGTCCTGTTTCTATAAACCAAGACTATTACTGGAGCCCTGCGGCCGCACTGGTTAAAGCATTTGGCTCCTGACCAAAAGGTCGGTGGTTTGAACCTACCAGCTGCTCCGTGGAAGAAAGTAAAGTTTTACAGCTGCGGAGACCCCACAGGGAAGCTCTGCTCTGTCCTGTAGGGTTGCTGTGGGTCAGAATCGACTTGACGGCAGCACGTATTATGTACAGGTAGACTATTATTAAAATGATTTGAAATCCTAAAATGGCAGTTAGGGAGGATATATCCTAAAAATGTGCTGGAAAACAGAAGGCAAAAACCCTTCCTTCATTTGTTGTTAGGTGTTACTGAGTGGCTACTGGTTTAGTAACCTTATAGAACCGAGGAGAACTGCGCTCGGGCTTCCTAGACTGTAATCTTTATGGGAGCAGATCACCAGGTCTTTCTCCCAGAGCCTCTGGGTGGGTTCAACCTCCACCCCTTCAGTTGGTAGCCAAGTGCATGACCACTGTGCACAGGTTCATTAACCCTTCCTTAGGCATACACTTGAAGTCACGCACTAGCTGGGCATTGGCTAACGGTGGCCGGGCAGTAATGGCTGATGACTTCCTCTATTCCACACGAATATGCAGACTTCTGTGGTCCACGTACCTGGTGCAAAGGCAAACACGGCGAAGCATTCTCCCGTGGACGCGACTGCAGTAACCACGGAGCGCCTTTTGTCAAAGTACTGTGATAGAATGGTTACAGTTGGCAGAAAGCTAAAGCAGTATCCCAAACCTGTGAAAGAAAGTAAAACAAATGGTGAGAACCACATGTAGATGCTAGGAGGATGCATTCAAATATAGGGGTTTTTAGTTTCTGTTTTTTTAAATCTCAAGTTCCGACAGCCATGTAATTCATTCTGGAGAAAGGCGATGTAGCAAAGGAAAAACGCTGTTCTCAGGGGCTGCTGCGTCAGTTTTGACCCGACACACGCGACCTCGTGTATAGTGGGGTGAAACACCGCCTGTCCTGCACCATCCTCCCAACTGTGGCCAGCCTCGGGCCCGCTGTTGCAGCCACCGTGTCAGTCCATCTTGTTGAGAGTCTTCCTCTTTTCTGCTGACCGTCTGCTTTTCTAAGCCCTGGTGTCACTGTGGTTGAAGCACCACTCAGCTGCTAAGCAGGAGGTCGGCGGCCCGAATTCATGAGCTGCTCCTTGGGAGGAGGGATTCCCTCCTTTTTGCTGACCTTGTACATTACAAACAAGAGTATAAAATGTCATCTTGCTTTTTTCTAAAAGGATATGTAGGCTGTCTCCACATAGTGTCTGTATGTGCTGCAAGTGTGTAGATTAGTGGAGCATACAGGGGGCAGAGTCATGGAAACTTCTTAGTCATGACCAGACACCTTGGCGGAATGAACTGCCGGGCACAGGACTCAGGACCATAGTCGCAGGAGACACTAAGGTCAACTGGCCTAACATGGTTCACAAAGACAGTGTTCTACATCCTACTTTGGTGAGAGCGACTATAGGTCATAAAAGCTTGTGAGTGGCTCTTTAAGGTACAACTACTGCTCTCACCCTGTCCGGAGCAAAGAAGAGTGAAGAAAATCAAAGACACAAGGAAACAGTCCGAAAGACTAATGGAGCACGTGAACCCCAGCCTTCACAATCATGAAACCAGAAGAACTAGATGGTTCCCTGCTTCCACTGCTAACCACTCTGAAACTGATCACAATGGGAAGTCCCAGATAATGGGAGAAAAATAGGGAACAAAACTCAAACTCAGAAAAAAGACCAGGCTTACTGGTCTCATTGAGACTGGTGGAATCCCCAAGATTATGGTCCTTAGTCACCCTTCAAGCTGGTAACTGA